CCGAACTCCGAAGTTAAACAGGCGGGTCCCCGTGTCAAAGCGGGGTGGGTAGGGCTCACATTTTTTTTTTTTTTCATTTTTATTATTTTGTTGGTAAAATGAATCCGGCTCTACACGGTGAAAAAAGTTTCTTGTATTACAAGACCCGGTCTTGGATCTTATGGAGAACGCCAATGGCATCCAAGGCTAGGTCTTGTAATACAAGAAACTATTTTTACCGTGTAAGAGGTATTTTAACTGCCGGTTGCACGGAGGTGATTCACGTCTAAAGCTTAGTGCCACACTGCCGCACTGCCCGTAAGGCGCTCCGGCCACCTGGGGTAGGCGAACCCGCCAGTCGTCGTGGTTATGCTGTACCGCACGCAGGCGTGCGTGTTGCCTACCTGCAATGCTCGTTTGGCGCTACGGACCCCTGGGCCTGGGGTAGGAAACGTGGGGTAAAGTATAACTGCAGGAGCCACATTTTCCCAAATTTCAGCATATCGACGAGGTCGGAGAAAAATAGGTCGGACAAAACCTAGGTCGGACAGCACTTTTTGGGATTTTGGAAAAATCGCCAGGTCGGAGAAAAATAGGTCGGACAATCTAAATACACTACGACGGAGTGAAGTTGTGTGGAGCGAGTGGCTGAAGATCATCGGCTGCTAAGACAGACTAGACTAAGGTTCGACTACTTTTCCTCTCCCCCCCCCCCTCACCTGAAAACTCCTATGTTGCCTGTGCTTTGAAAGGTCGGACCTTCTCAGGACAGCAGCGAGCGGACATCAGACGACGAGCGATAACTCATGCGCGTAGGATAAGGTAAGGGTAAAGGGGGGGGGGGAGCTGCGCAGGCGGTGTCCAAATCCGCTCACTTCAGCTCGGCAAGACGGGCAAGACTCGGCACGGCACGGCAATCGGCAGTCCAGCCAGTCGCAGATGCAGATGCAGACGCGGAGCGCGGAGCAGTGCAGAGTTTGTGTGAGGAAGAGCTTGTCTATTGTAGTGAACAACTCAAATCTGTTCGGTCCTCTACTTCCAAGCAAATAAGGTAACTACTTTCGACTGTTATTAAGGGCCATATTTACACTGCAGCAGAGTAGTGCGAAGTGTTACGGAATGAGGGCTGCGTATAACGATTCGCGACAACTCGACGTCGACTGCCCCGCGATAAAGATTACTCCCGAGGACATCACTTCGCGCGGCATTAGCGAGGGACAGCACCCTAACCTCACCATGCGCGTAGGAGTGGAAAGAAGGAGTGAGAAAGCATTCCGGTAAAGCTGAAATGCAGAAGAAACCGGAATGGTTTATTGGATTTGAACCAATCTCTAGGCCAGCCTTACACCGGAATCAGTTCCCTTACTATACCTTACAACCTACTCGACACTAGGCCTATGAACAAATTTAAAACTTGGTAGCTATAACAAAAATATTTTATTACTGTCAACAAAAAAATACATTGTGAAAATCTTGATAAGCCTGAAACGAGCCTGTGTGAATAATGTTGGTTGCTTATCTAGAAAAAAATCAAGAAAATTCTTAGAAGAGTCTTTAAATAAACATCTCAAATTACTATTTACCTATGAATTTGTTGACAGCTATCAACAATTATTTACTATCCCAGCAACATTTTGGTTCATAATGTAGGAACTATTTCGTTTATAAACTAGATACTAAAAGCATTGTTTAGAAATGAAGTCGTGTGGTCCTACATTAAACTTGTCGTTAAAGACTAAAAGGCGTATCTTATAGTTGCTAAGCAAGTTTTAGAGTCTTCGACCTAAACATATCAGTTGACTAATGACACAGCTCTCCGTAACCAAATGTATACCATTATAAAGACAAAATATGTGAGTGTGTACGTGTAAGAAATATAATTTGTTTTTAAAATCCATGAATTTGTATGTAACTGCTCGCCAAAATTAGAGGCGCACTTGTTCGACGTGGCTTAAATTCTAAGGTTTTGGAGTTGGAGAGCTAAGAATTCGCAGTCACTCATAACGAGGCTCACGAAGTGCGCAACCCGTGCGCCATCCCTTACGAGCTCAGCAACCCCTCGAGTGAAGAGAGGTGAAAAAATCGATCTTGACAAGTCCGAAAATGTCACTTAATGTGCTCAAAAAGTAATGTCCTTTCCAGGATCAACTCATTTTTAGCCCGCTCTTTTGCTTAAAAGCTATATAAGCGGGCTAATGCCATCGCCCCTGTGTTCGTCTGTCTGTCTGTCTGTCTGTCTGTCTGTCCGTTTCGCAAGAAGGACGTGAGCTAGAGGTTTGAAATTTTCAGGGTATTATTGTTGTCACCTCTGGACAACGAGGTCTCGCCTGTTTCGGCTGGTTCGGCCCAGTCCACCCCCGGCTTGCAACCAGCTGAGGAGAAGACGGAGTTAGGTACATAGTAGACCGAGGGGCTGAAAATCATGGGCTGCTATCAGACAGCAGCGGACACAGACCATGAGATGGCATGCCGGTAGAGTAGTTGGGAGAGGGGGGGGGGGCGTAGGCGTGCTGGTTTCGCAGCAGGAGCGAATTAAGGTCCGGCTGACAGGGGGGGAGGGGCGATGCACTGCCGGTTGCCTAAATACAGCGCAAATTGCCTACCTTCCAGGCGGCCCTCTGGAGACGACAAGGGAGGCGATCGTCCCCGCCCCCTCCCCTTAATCCGCGCCTGCTGCGCAGTCGGCGACTGGGGCCCTAGGGGCTGTCGGCTCGGGGCAGTCGCTGCATGGGCGTGAGAGCCAGCAGCGCAGAGGGAGGCTGTGTGACGGAGAGCTGGTTGATAGCAGTCAACATCTCAATTCTCGTCGGTCCCCTAACTTCCAAGCTCTGGGGAGTTCGCCACTCGCGATGCGCCCCCCTGCACCACGGATTTAAAGGCTGGGGACCAGCGCGTAAACGCTGAGCGGGGCGTCCTCGACGAGTAGAGCGGGGCCGGTTGCCGCGTGCGACCCTTTTGCGTTCGATAGGCAGGAGGGGCGATGCACTGCCAAACAGGGGTCTTGTAGCGCAAATTGCCTTCCTTTCAGGCGGCCCACTAGAGGCTACAGGGAAGGGGGGGGGGGCAATGCGCGCCCATGCTGCCTGTGTCTACATCGTGCGCCCGAATCTTTGTAACGCCAACAGCACGTGTAGTGTTGGCAAGTAAAGTAAGCAGAGCCATTATTATTATTTTCGCAGAGCGTCATGGAGCTGTTGCTGCTGCCGGATGACGATCTGCTGGAGGTGTTGCGGCACCTCGACGTGCCGGACCTGCTGACGTGCCGCCTGGTGTGCAAGAGGCTGGCGGAGCTGGCCCTGGACCCGCACGTCTGGCAGCACCGCTGCCTACTCGACTCGGAAGAGCTTTATTGGTCGAATCCGGTGCTGCGTCTTGCACCTTGTCTGCAGACGGTGCACACGAGAGTCAATGGCCTCGTCGACACGACGGACGCGTTGCTCACGACGAGGTGTGCTGTGAAAGACTTGCGATTGGACGTTTGCCAAAACTGGATCGGGCTCGCAATAGCTGTACTCCAGAACCTGGTGGCGCTCGGACGGCTAAGAGAGCTTGAAATAAGGTTCCTTATGTCTGGGATTTCTGATCCCGACGAGTATGCCCTTGTGACCAGGCTGATGAAGATAGTCTTGGCGTCCCGCTTGGAGCGCTTGACTGTTTGGGGCGACATCCCGCCCTGTGCACAGACCTCCGCGGCAAGCCTCGATCGTCACAGCGGACAATGCACCCCGCCCAAGTCATCCCTAAGCTACTTCAGGAGCTTGGGCGCCAGTTCGGCGTCATTTTTCAACCTAGTGCTGTCTTCGCAAGCTGCCACTCTGAAGACCATTTTCGTCACTACCTTCCATGTCTCTGCCTTCGACGAGTCGACGGTGCTCCTGCTGGCTAAGTTGCCGAATCTCCGCAAGCTGAATTGCTCTCTGTTCCCCGGCCTGGAGGCACTGGCCGCGTGCCCGAGGTTGGAGGAGGTGACTCTCCTTGTGTTCCCAGAGCACCCTAAACTTTACCGCGCGGGGGCGACCAAGTTCCTACGGCGCGCCAGCCAGCTGAGGAAAGTCCATCTGTCCCCGCGTCGTGTTGATACCTATGCCGACTTCGTCACTGCCCTGGTCGCGTCCGGGGCGTCCAACGTCGAGGAGCTGAAGATCAGTAGTATTCCCATGCGCTCGCCACAGGCGCAGTCTGTGCTGCTCAAGGCGCTGCCCTCGCTGCCGGCCCTGCGGGTCCTGGAGCTAGAGAAAGTGCCGGACGAGTTGCTGCGGTGCATTACACCCGCCTTGGCCCCTCGCCTGCAGATCCTCGTCGTCACCCACGCGGGGAAACTCGCGGACAGGCCGTGCGGACACGCCTGGCTTCACGTGGACGCCGTCAAGGCGGTCCAGCGTGCGAACCCCTCGCTGCGAGTGTTTGTGGATAATGACACGCCCCTGTACTGCCCTGACGATGAACTTTGTAAACTGTGTGCGCTGGACTGTCACCGCGGTCGGTTCAGGGAAGAAACAAGAACGACCCCTTCTTCTGCCTTCCCTCAGTTGCTCCTCCCACGAGACGACTTTTAAAATGTACAATGCTAATTCTGATTTCGTAGAATTGCTTTCGTTTTCTCATGGAAAATATAATATCAATGTACGTAATTATTTTAGAAATTATTTTTTGATGTTATCAGTTTCGTTAACTTGTCCTCTTAGAAGAATACATACCTCTTCTGTAATGAACAACGATGTGTAAGTGCCTCAAAGTGTTGTTTTTAAATTCATTAATTTCATTTCGTTTCTTTTAATTTTCCTGCCTCTTAACAGAAAACATACAGCAGCCTGACTAAACAGAATCAGTATTACTGTCACAACCTATCTGATTGTATTGTCATTTAACTTTCATGATAAAAAGGGGCACATCTCAGCTACTACACATTCTTCTTGGCTTGGTGCGCAATCCGGCCTAAAGCCGGTGTGGTTGGTACTTTAGTCCAGTGATGTCGCCCTCACCTCTAATTCTTTGTGGTGTCCGCCGTTTCTGTGCGGCCGTCGACGTTGGCCCGTGACAATAGCGCCGCGCTCTCGTCGGTTGCAAAAAAAAACAACAACCGCGAAACGCGACCCACCGCTCTGTGCTTCTGTTCGTTGCGCCTAAGTAGTCCAGCCTGAGACCTAAATATTTTCGACTTCGAGCCGCTCGTAAACTCAGTATTCATCTTTTAACTATACATAACGAGGTAACGGTTCTCTTTTGCACTTCTCTTGGGTATGACGTCTAGGTCTGCAGTGCTTCCAGCATAATGCATATTGTGAATGTGGGTCTTCGTGCAGTCGATAGTGTACGTATTTAGAGTTCCTGAAATGCGTGATTTTCACGCTCCGTAAGCTTCGCGAAGCCAATGGGGCACCAACTCACGTCTTGAGGGACACTCGCGTTCGTGATTTGTGAACTTTGGCGGTCAACTCAAACTCGAACGCAGCGGCGCAGCTGCAAGTTACGTTCGTAGCAAAAATATCATTGGGTCTTGAGCTATTGTGGCAATCCTGAACTTACTGAAGGGGCCGTGATATCCGGTTCCAGGGCACAAAAAAGAGTTAATCTTGATCGAGATGCCGATTGGACATGTGTGTAGGGTTGCCTGGTTGCCTAGAGAGGGGTTTTGATAGGACAGTGAAAGTCGCAGAAAATTCGTCAGGGTGCCAGTGGGTGCCAGTAAAATGTGAAATAAGCACCTGTTCGGTGTCGGCAGGCAACGTTAGGGGCGTGAGCCCGCTCGCTGCCCCACGAACGGGTTTTCGCCGTCAGACAAGTCCTCATAAGGGTGGTGTGCGCTGCAGGACGAGATCGCGGTCGAAGGCCCTTCTACCTGGGAATCATCCAGAAAGTACGTCCGTCATTCGCCGTGACGAACTGGCAAAGATCGACCCCTGCAAGCTCTCATTAGCGCCTGGTAGGTAGCCAACATCGTGTCTGCCGTGCATGCGTGCACTGCGGGGTGGCCTACCCTGCGTTTCGAAGGCGTCAATCTCCTGTAATGTGCCTATGAATGTGAGAAAAGCGGACGTACTTTCTGGACGATCCCCTGGAGCGAATTCCACTGTGGCAGAATGAGGACTTGTGCATCAGTGAAAACCCGTCCGGGAGACCAACTATACCGTCGATAAGCACGTGAGCGCTGACTTATACTGTTCTCTGTTCGCGCACTGTCGCAGGCCATGGAGCTGCTGCTGTTGCCCGAGGAAATGTTGCTGGCGCTGATGCGGTACCTCGACGCCCGGGACCTCCTCTGTTGCCGCCTGGTGTGCAAGCGGATCGGGCAGCTGGCCCTGCACCCGCACCTGTGGCGGCGCCTCCGGGTCTACGAGTACGAAGGGGACCGCCATTTGGCGTGCCCTGTGCTGCGACTGGCGCCTCTCCTGGGCCTGCTGGACGCCGAGGTCCCCTCGAAGGAGTGCCAGTTGGCGCTCGCCTCGACTCGGTGTGCAGTGACGGAGTTGCAGCTCACCGTCCACCAGGGTGGCGCCGTGCTCGCAGCTGCCGTGATACGCAACCAGGAGGCGCTCGGCCGTTTAAAACGTCTGGACATCGCGTTCTCACCTTGGGATCTCGGTACCGGCGTCGATCTCCTGCTGAGGACTGTGGCGTTGACGTCGGGTCTGGAGAGCCTCTCCATCAACGAAGTCCCGTTTCACAGCACGTCCACCGTGGATATCCTCGTCCGACACAGCACCCGGCTGTGTAAGCCGTCCCTGAGGAAGTTTCGCGGCCACCACCTGCAATATGCAAGTCATGCGGAGGCGTTTGTCGACTTTGTGCTGGCCTCGCACGCGGCCAGTCTGGAGGAGGTCGACCTGCTGCGCCGCGTGTCATGGGAACCTGAAGAGTACCCCGTAACAGCGTCGAGGGCGCTCCTGCTGGCCGGGATGCCAAATCTCCGCAAGCTTTCGTGCTTCTCGATGCCAGGGCTGGAGGCCGTGGCCGTCCGCGAGACTCTGGAGGTGGTGACCCTCGCTATGCGTCTAAAAACGACATCCGACGCCGATAGAGTAGCAGTCGCGGCGGCGGCCGAGTTCCTTCGGCGCGGGGCCGGCCAGCTGCGGGAGGTCACACTGATCTTCCACATTGACCGCTCCTGCGCCAGCGCTGAGGGCCCCGAGGACGACGACGACGACCCCGACCGCGTCAACACAGACTTCATCACGGCCTTGGCCACCTCCGGACGGTCGACCGTCGAGTTCCTGAGCATCAGCGGAGAACACGCGACGAGCACCTCGCGGCTGCAGCTGTGCACCGCGCTGCTCGACACGATGCCCTCGCTGTCCGCGCTGCGGCGCCTGGAGGTGGGGGGGCACGTGGCGGTGGACCAGCTGCTGCTGGGCATCACGCCCGCCTCGGCCCCGGTCCTGCAGAGCCTCCTGCTGCATCCCAAGCCGAGCCTGCCGTGCGTACACGCCTGGCTGCACGACGGCGGGGACGCGGTCGGGACGGCCCTCTCCGTGAACCCCGCGCTGCAAGTGTTCGTACGCAGGACTCCGCCCAAGCACTGCTCGGAGAACAAACTCTGCGCAGTGTGTGCACTGGGCTGTCACCGCGATCGACCGTGGTACAGCGACTACGATGACGCGAGAATATATCCATGTTTCGAAGGTTTTTGTCTGCTGCTTCCCCGAAACGAATTCTGCAACTAGCCGTATCGAGTTTTGTTGTTTCAGTGTGTTTTCTGTTTATTTTATTTTGTGTTCTTAGTTGTTACGCGGTATTTGAACCTGGCATGGCATGCCCAAGGACCACCCCAATAAACAAATTGTGCAACACACGTGCAAATTTGCAGACAATAGCCCTTTAAGGGCTATAGACTCCAAGTGTTGGATGGCGATGTGACATTATTAATGACTGCTGGATGTCTTTTCTTAAAGGTGAGGTGTGTACCAGTGTAGTGTACGAAAACTGCTATTTTCTGTTCGTTTGACTATGCACAATCATTTGCTTTCTGTGCATAATGTCTACCCTGAATCATTTTTCGGTCACCATTATCTTGTGACTAATGAAATATATTTTGTTAGTAAGCCTGAACTGTTACGGTTTAACCACCTTCCTGACACTATTACCCTGTTAACTCTGCCCCATTCATTTCTCATATGCGTTTGTTTTTATAGTGCGCCGGGTGATACGAGGGGAACTGTATGGGCGTCAAACGTGTCCTACAGCGTCTGGGCCCTGAGCTGCCTGAGCTCTTTATTGGCCGGGCCGCCGCCGGCTTGCCGGCTTCACTCAGTCGCTTGGCGGGTTGGCCTACCCTCTGCGCGGAGCAGGCGCTGTCATTCGCGTCCTGGAACGTTTTGACCGAGTCACCCCCAAGACACCAATGTTTAACGTTGATACGCGTTGATACCACCACGGGGGGG